TGTATAAAAATAGGAGATTAAAATTTTCATTAACACTGCTAGTAAATTAAAAATCATAAAAATTCTTTTGATTTTTCAACATAATTGAAAAAAAATATTAAAAATAATCAAACAAATTAGTAAACAAGACATTTATTTCACAATATTTCTCAATATTTATAACGCTTACTGCGAGAAATCTAGTCAATGTATTTCATTCTTGGAATAAAATAAATAAATTTGGTATTTTAATAGTTTGAAGCAACTACATTTAAAGAGATTGCATAGGTATTTTGCATGCAAGAAATTACATTCGCATGGGATTTCCATAGGATTTATTTGCAGATAGTAATCGCAGTTAATAATAGAACTATCTGCAAATAAATCGTATGGAAATCATTAACACCATCTAAAATCTAGAATGGATTAATGTTTATTGTAAATTTTATTCAATTACGATAAATTTTGGAATTTTACGTGCTAAAACATATTGCATCTAGGCTTTGTAGTATTTGATACTAAAATAAAGTATAAATTTGCTTGTTTTCTCGCATAATTTTAATATGATTGTAAAAAATTATGAGTTCCGATCCTGAAAATCAATAATTTAGCACATCTTGACGAACACTTTTAAATGGACACAAGTCAATTTTTTTGAGTTTTCGAGAGTATTTTACCAAGGCTGAAAATGAAAAATCGGGAGGATTACGTCCTCTCAATTTAGGTCGGTCAACCCTTAAGAATTTTTTTCGAATTTTTTCGAAAAAAAAATATTTTCAGAACAGCCTTAACGGCTAAGATTTAGGAACAATGTTAAGTATCAAAAAGAAAGGAGGTCTGATATAGACAACATATATCGTTGAAGGTTGAAAAAATCTCTAATACTTGAGCCCAAAATTTCAAATTTTAATTTTTTGAAAAAAGAGGCCACCCGTATGTACGTTTATTTGAGAGGAGGAGGATTATATTTTTGAAAGGGTGAAACATTATGAATATGTTAATTATATAATAATATGTATTATTATAAAAAAGAAAAAATAAAGCACGTTAAAATTTTTCTTTCTTGATTTTTTACAAAATCTACTTAGAATTAAAAAAAAAAAAAAAAAAAAGGTAGTGGGGCTTCCAGGGGCTGCGCCCCTTCTAGCCCATAAGAAATTTTGCCCAAGACCAAAGAGGAGGACCGTAGGGTGTGTGTGGCTTCCAGGCGCGTTGCGCCCTCTAGCCATAAGAAATTTGTTGCCAAGACCCAAACTGACAAACACTTTGACCGAGTAGTTTTTTGTGCTGAACAAAAAGTGTCATATAAACATCTGTCAAACCGCTTTTTAACTTCACTTAAAATGCCACGTAAGCTACGTAAGAATATACGTAAGAGAAGGGAGCATTGAAACATCCAATTAGTAAAACTGACACCACAACAACAGTTGCAACAACAAATAATGAATGACCCACTATGTTGCAACAAATGTCAAGCAATCCTATGCTTTTAAACCGAGTTTTTGGTGCACAGAGTGGAGGTTTAAGAGACGCTTTTAGCGAAAATGGCAGGCTATGGTGGAGCTGCAGACGAAACAGCTTATATACCCACAAGTCAAATGAATTTGAGTTCACTCAAAATCAAATATAGATGTCAAAAAGTCAAACATAGACATACAGAAGCAAATAAGTGAAAACGAAAAGACTAGAATATGACAGACACACAAAGAAACTCAATGAGTTAAACTAGAGAAAAAGAAGAAGAAGAACAACTGAAAGAACTAAGTACAGAGGAATATGCGAAAAAAAGTGTCAGAAAAAGCAGCAGAAGTAGCAAAAATGGAACAAGATGTTGTATTGAAAAACCATACTACTCAATATAAAGTACTGAAAGATGAAGAGATAACAAAAGCCCTGAAGACATATATGGATAGCAATGAGTTAAAAAAGAAGTTGAAGCAAATGTAAAGCAGAAAACTTTTACAGTTGCAAAACCAAACCGTACAGTATGAAAACTTAGCACAAGAAAGTAAAAATAACGACGCAGCCATGCAAAAGGCAATGAAAAGCGCAGAATATATAAAAGCTAACAATACTGTTAGATGCCCAAGCCAACGCAAAGCAGCCCAACTTATAGGGTCAATAAGGACAAAAATACAGCGATGAAGACAGTTCAAATGAAGTTTAACAAATGCTGACTTTAAGAACGCCTTCGAAGCTCTTCATAGTAAGGTGAAACAAGTGAACGACTTCTCATCTGGAAAGAAACTGAAGTCTGAAGGTTTCGACAAGAGTTAAAAGAAGTAGCACAAAATATGACGAAAATAACAGATGCAGCAACGAGACAGGCAGTTCAAAGTGCCTATGACGCCGTTAGAGCAACTGTTGTGGAAAGTCAAGAAAAGAGTTACAACAGACCAAAACAGACCTAGTAAATGCTTTCTTAAGAACGAAAAGTCAGGTAGGACACTATGCTGCAGATGGAACATATGTGCCAGCTGGTGGAACTTATATACAGCTGGTGGAACTTATATACTAGCTAGTGGAACCTATATACACCAACCCTCCCAAGAGAAGCACCTGCACCAGGACTACCTAAAACATTTACATCGTCACTGGACACAGACACAGGCATGCACCAAAACCAACACAACAACCAACAGTTCAAAACCCAGCACAGCAACCACCTCCACAACAACAACCACAACCAGCACAGCAACCAACAGTTCAAAACCCTGCACAACAACAACCACAAACAGAGCAAGACATAAAAGAAGTAGAGAACAAGAAACAAGAATTCTTAAAAATGCTTAAAGAAAGACTATGGTTACCCAGATATCTTGACTTTAGTGACAGATATAAAGAAGCTATTAGAAAGTTCAAGGAAGGAAATACTGACCCGAACCTATTTAGCTTTATGGCTCAGCACCAAATGGATAAATTTCAACCTGGAAAATACAAGCTCGCTAAGGGATATGATTTAATAGCATATCATCCAAATGACATGAACGAATTTACTCCGAGATATTTGGTGTCAGAGCTAAATGACAATTCAACTCTCTTCATGAAACGCGTAAAAAATAGAGACGGAACGAAAGAAGAAAGGTTTATGAGTCCGGATGACTTAGATAGGGAACTTTTTAAAAACGGTCTCGGAATATATGAAATGCCAGCAGATGAGGTCAAGAAACTCCACAGGAAGAAGTTCAGATACAACCAGACATGGAAGAAATAGTTCAGCAACAACAGCTAGAAGAGCCTGAAGGAAAACGAACAAGTCCCTCTTTGGAAACTAACTTCACAGAACTAGATGAAGATTTGGAACAGCCGAAAAATCTTGACCTCAACAAGAGTATGAGGTGAATATGGAATCTTTCCAAGAGTCTAAAAAATTCGGCTGACATAGTAGAAGAATATCGAAAAACGTTTGCCGACATACAAAAGACTCCAACACCAGATGAAAATATTCAGCATAGAATGGAAGTACTGAAAGAAAATGTACACAAATACAACAACCCTTTTTACTTACGAGCATTTAACGTTCAATCTTTGGATGAACTCGGTGAAATAAAAGGTTAAATTTCAACAAAAATATAGAAATGAAACTTTGTTTAAAGTTCATTCAGAACCTAACCAAGATGGAAACAACCTACTTTTGTTTCTGCAGAACTATGGAACTACAATGAGATGGGGTCATAAAGCTAACCCGGATAGGTGGTTCATAAACTTACAACCACAATTCCAAGAAGTTGTAGACGCAATGGAAGTCAATGGTGAACCAGATATAGCTGGTATTTTAAGCGCGGCTTTAATGCCATTGAAAGATATGAAAGATGCAGATATTTTGGACCAGTATGAAATGAACATGGCTGAAGGAATATAACACCTGACGTTCTAGAACATTTATCTCAAAGAACTACACAGAACCATAAAGATGGTATATTTGGTGAAGAGTTTAGAAAGAAAGTTAGGAGACAGAAGGAAGAGAACCTATTGTACATGACCTTGCAAACGAAAGTTTACAAAATGTCATAAAAACTTACTTTGCAGACAATGAACCGAGAAGGGATGAATATTTAAGAAAACTCAAATGGACAGTACCAAATGAAATGTTAGTTTGAAAAACATGTTCCTTGACAAATAAAACCAACTACAGAAATAAACGACGCAAGACTGAAAGATTGGGTAAAAGCTTTCCCATTCACAAAAGATATTGTTGGTAACATGGAAAGAAAACCAGAATGGCTACAAAAACATATATTTGGAAACGAGCTTATTCCATATGGACAGGCACTGTTTGAAGAGCTTGAACCGGAAACTCAGGAAAGAGTCATGCAAACAATACGCGAAGACTCAAATACAAACTATGACAAACTCTTTCTAGGATATAGGTTACCTGAGATGGGCGACCAGAGCCCAAAGGCAAAAAGGACATGGGAAATTTACAACATACTAGTGAACATGAGGCAAAGATGCAACACAACTTGAAGCAGAGGGCAAGTTACCAAAAGCGACACCAAAGAAGAAGAGAAGAGTAGAACAAAGTGAAAGTAGTGAAGAAGTAACTTCATCTAGTGAAAGTAGTGGCAATGAAGGAAAAAGAAGAGTTAAAAACTCAGTTCAGGAAGAAAGTAAAGCTTGGTCCACGTTGGGTTCTATTATGACAATAAATCCAACTATTCTATATTTTTACACATATGAAATGTACGCCGCTCAGAATATAACGCCAACAGTTTTGGATGCCATGAATGGAAATGTTTTCCGAATGGTATAAAGAATGCGACAATGCATTAGAAGGTCAGAAATAGTTCCTGGAACTTACGAATATACAACTGCTGTTTCTTACGGAACGTAGGTGAGTTTGGAGAAGGTTCTCAACAACAGTAGATATTGCTTGCGACAGGTTTCATATTATTTCTATTGACAACTCATTCTTATACGTGGAACAAGACATTGAAATAAAACCTTCTGCCAAGTTGTCTGACAAGAAAGGTTGCAATGGAATTTTCTATGTCGGATACCAATATGCTCCAGAAGTTTTCATGGGATATAAGATATATTCTAACTCTGACTTAGTTCAAACAGTAACATGGGCAAACTATGAATGGTTCGCTTTGAGAAACTCAGTGCAACCACAAGCTAGAGAACAAACAGACCAGTATGCAACTATTGAGAAAATAAGAAGACTTGACCCTAACGTTCCAGGAGTTTATGTTAACCTTTCTGGTTCAGATGGAAATGCTGTCACTAAAGTAAAACTGAAACTTAGAGTTCCTTTGTCGTCTTTCCTCATCTTCAGGTTTTTAAGATACTTGCCAAACTGGGCAGGAAAAATTTCTATCGAACTTACTCCAAGCAAAAATAACTTAGTCATTGCACCAACACAAGACCCATTCACTCTTACTGTAGCTGGAACTGGTGGAACCAAGTTCTGTGACTTTTGCAAAGATAAGGTAGACTTAGACTTTGGTTTCTCAAACCTCAACACTGAAGTAAACTATTATTTCAATGCTGCTGGAGATGCTTGGGACCCAGTTAAGTTCACATGCGAAAAGTTTGAATGCAAGAGAATAGAAAGCAGACTTGCAGTCTATATGTTGGACCCAGATATTTCAAATGCTTTAGCTGCCAAATATATTGCAGTTCCACTTATGTTCCCTATACACCAAATATCTGTCAAAGACTTTGCAGGTGAAGTTGGAAACCAAAGTGCTGACCCAGGTGCAAGAACAGATATTGCTTTAACAACTGCAATGAAACATGCAGATACTATGTTTGTACTGTTCAGACGAACTATAAATGACTATTCTTGTTTCTACAACCCCGGTATTAAATATCATATAAACATAGATGGCAAATATTATCCAAGAGAAGAATATTCTACAGTTGAAGATATGAGGTCATACAACTTGACATTAGATGCTATGAACTTTAACAACAACTTCACAACGACCATTAACCCTGAAATGCAAAGTTCTATTATGCCATATGTGAAAGTATGGACTCATACAGGAGGTCAAAAAACTCAATATACAAATGGAGACCGTTCAAACTTTTGGCTTGGCATTCCATTTGCTGACTCAGAAGACTTTATGGGTGGTATTTCAACTGTTGGTACAGTTCAAATACAATATACTGGTGACAGAGACGGTCCAGATGAATTGAAAGCAAAGAAGTTTACAAAACCAATAGCACTTTTCACGGAAGATGCTCTTTTGAAGATTCGTTCGATGAAACCTGCTGGAGCTCCTCAGATTGGCATAACGACAGCTTCCATCGAGCAGATTTTGGCAGCAGGTCAGTAAGTTGTTCTTGAACTGACTTCTCTCCGTCAAATATTGACAGTACGCCAGTTTTGACATAAAATTGTAAGATAAACTTACCTTTAGAAATATCTGTAAGTTTTGTTGTTATATTTTTGTCAACGTCAAGAACTTTCACCATTTCAGTTATACCAACTTTCTTTGCTTTATGAAAATATTTAGGTTCAGCAAAGACTGCTATTCTATAACATTTTCCATTGTTTGTGTAAAGAACTATTCTGTCAATGAACTTGTATTGTTTGTGTGTGTAAACTTTGTTTGCTTCAATTCGAAGAGATACTCGAATACGTCCATCTTTTTATTCTAAGTAAAATGTCATTTCCGAAAAATAGAAGCGTAAGTGTTTCAAAAGGTTTAATGGCGGTGGCAGATGTGAAGTTAAATTCACCAACTCAAACAAACAGTCAAAGTGTTGTTGTCAATGTCAAAGACAGAGATGTTGAAGTGGGGAAACCATACGAAGACGAAGATGGTATAACAATAGTTCCTGTAAAAGAACAACCAACATACCCTGAAGTTAGCAGAGAGTTAAGTTCTGTTGCAGATATTCGAAACGACTACCAACAACTTAAAGACAAACTTAAAACTCAGGAGAAGATTTGTCAAGCTTTAGGTATAATGTTAAACTTGGTCGAACACAACCCTGTAAAAGTGAACTCATATGTCATTGCACCTCATGAAGTTTTGAAAGAACTATTGAAACTTTTGACAGAGGCAGACGATATAAAATCAAAGAAATAGAACCCGACGTTAGTTGCTGTGGTGTTTCATATAATGTCATTGACAAGATATACGTTATGAAAGGAGGTGAAACGTTGAACTTAAAATATAGTTTCCCAGACGTCATAAAAATATTTGACGACCACAACATTTCATTAAAATTTAGTTGCTAAGTAAATGGCAGAAGACATAGTGGTTTATACTATTACGACTAAAAACCCTGAGTCATATAATTCTATAACAACAAACTTACAAAGTCCTCAAGGACGATATTGTAAACTAACCTTAAACACAATGACGACTAAAGCCTGTTTTGCTCTTTTGACACCAGAAGACTTTGTTGTTGAATGGTAAAAAATACTTCTTTGAAGATACTTACTCAGATATACCACCAACAGGTTTTGTTGACTTATTTAATACTTTAAGGACGGATGTAACATGTGCTGCAACTAGAGCAGGTTTCATTATGTTTGGATGTCCGACTGAGTTTAGTATAAACGATATGAGCTATAATACAAAACTTATATCTGGTTTTTACTACCAACAGTTTCCTATAACAGGAAAAGGTGTCATACAAGGTCTATCTGTTCCATTGACTTTAAGCACACCTATTTTATATATTGTTTCAAACTTAGGTTCAAAGTGTTATTCGAATGTCGACAGAAACTACTATGACCAAAAGATACTCATGCGTATAAACAACACATTCTCTGCTGGTTTGCCTATTGTTCATTCGAATGCAGAGTTTTCAGCTTTAGTAAACTCAAACACTTTAGCAAACATAAACTTAACCTTAGTTGACGCAAACTTTGTTCCTGTAAAACTTTTATGTCCTATGTATTTGTCAATGACGGCAGAAAGTTTCGAATTGGAAGATGCAACTGGTGAAAGTATTGTATTACAAGAACAACTTCAACAACAAATAGCTCAAGAACAACAAATGCAACAAATGGAACAAATGCAACAACAAAGTCAAGAATAAAAAAAATATTTTTTTTTATTTTTATAAAAATGTACAGAATAGATGTTTCAGATTTTTATGACTTCCAAGCCTTCAGAAATATGTGTCCATTTAGAGACTATAACAAAGCAGTCGAGAATTTGAAACGTTTAGTCATTTATGTTGACTCTGCCCCAGAATGTTATGTCATGAAAGAATGGGATGTTGTCTTTAACAAACCAAGAGCAACAATAGTTTCAGAACAAGAATGTAGACAGAAACTTAAGAAAATAAAAGTCGTACAAGTTGGTATGAAGATGTTAGATGCTTGGGATATCTTATTGTCAAAACTTGAAGATTTTTCAGTTCGTGGTATAAAGTTCTATACACCTTCTCCAAACTTCTATTCTATCTTCACTGGATATAAATACGAACAAGTAGAATGGAAAGAAAATGTTATAGAAGCTTGGTTAGACCATGTCAAAGAAATTATATGCAATGGAAACGAAAGAGTCTATGAGTATATCTTATGTTGGTTTGCAAACATCTTACAACATCCAAGTGCTAAAAATGAAACTGCTCTCATCATAATTGGAAAACAAGGAACTGGTAAGAACACTTTCTTTACAGATATCTTATGCAAACTGTTAGAGGGCTATTCGAATCCGAATATGACAAACTTAGAAAACATCTGCGGTAAATTTAACTCCTCAATAGAGAATATGAAACTTATAGTATGTAACGAACTTCAAAGTATAGATACAACAAAAGTTTTGAACTCAGATGCTTTGAAGAGTCTTATAACAGACAAAGTTGGAGTTGTTGAAAGAAAATATAAAGACCAAAGAGTTTGTGAAAATGTTGCAAACTTCGTCATGGTTTCAAACAATGCTGTTCCGATGAAGTTAGAAAGTTCTGACAGAAGATATGTAGTTGTCAGAACGTCAGATTCTCATATGCAAGATACAGAATATTTTGACGACTTAGCAGAAACTTTGACATCTGACTTTTACAACCACTTGTTCTCATATTTCATGACATTAGATATTTCTAAGTTCAATCCAAGACAAATTCCACATACCGAAGAGAGACAAACATTGTTAGAAGCAAACAAGAGTGTATATGAACTGTTCATAGATGAAACTGACTTTGAGTGTTTAGATGAAAGGTCATTGTACGATTCGTATAAACAGTATTGTCAAGAGTATGGTTATATGACAGCGTCTAAACGAACATTCTTGGCAAATGTCAAAAGTCTTTTAGACGTACAGAATGGTGTATATACAAAGAAAAATTTTTCTGAGTAAATTTTAAAAAAAAATATTTTTTTTATCCGATAGAAAAGATGACGAAATTCATCTCAGTAAACAAGTACATGTCAGGACTTAAAGAAGAACTAGACCCATTCACATATTTGAATGTTTACTTCTACCATTTTGAAAAGTCTACATTTGACAAAGTTTGGAACATCGAACCGGTTAAGTTTGCTATTGTGACTAAAAATGGTGCGAAATTTGAAGACTTAGACATAGAAGGTTTGTTAACAGTCAAAGAAAGTTTTGACAGAAGGTTTTCAAACCTTAAAGAAGGCAAAGCATACAAACTTGTTATACCTTATGAACCAAAGAAAGCAGACGACTATGAATATTATGAGTCTAAGATAGTTGAAGTTCAAGGTAAATTGGGTAAAAAGATTTTAGAGTCTAAGCCGGTGTTTGCTCCTAAAGAGGAAGAGAACATTGACATTGACCCAGAAATGTTCTAAAAATAAAATTTTATTTTTACATGTCAAATTTCTTCTTCGGTGGAACTGGTTCAGGTTCTTTCTTCTCTTCTTCTACTTTCTTTTCTTTCTTTTCTCTCTTCTTCTTTTCTGGTGGAGTTATGTCAAACTTCTCAGAACCATATTTTTGTAAAAGTTCTTTGTCCTTTAATAGCTCTTCTATTCTGTTTTCTATTTCATCTTCAAGAACAGCGCATGTGTCTTCTTTGCATTCTAAGAAGTTTTGTTGGACTTCATCTCTCCAAGAGGCGTCATCTCTGTCAACAAGTCTGTCATTGACAAATTTTAAGACTGCTCTGCTTAATGTTTTATGGTTCTTGTCATATTCCCAGAAACAGAACTTTAGAACAAATTCACCTTTCTTGTTTACACTATGTAAGATTTTATGGTCGACAGATGTTTTGCTGTCGAAAAGCTTGTCTCGAATATAGATAGCGAAATCGCTAGACATTTTCTAAAAGATAAAAATTTTAATTTTTCTAAAAATATGTTAGAAAAAAAGTTTGCTGACATTGACAAAAAATTTGAGAATGTTTTAAATAAGAACAAGAGGAAGTTGGAAAATGCTCAGATAAAACCCATACATGACAAGTTCTTATTTGCTCAGAATGGTATAACAGGTCTAATTGCACCACCTGGGTCGGGTAAGACTTTCACTTATCTTAAAATGGCTGCACAACAACAAGAACTAGATGAGAAGAACCCATTCTATGAGTTAGTTGTCATTTGTAGTACTTCGGGTCAATTTGACCAAACCGTCAATTCGTTCAAAGATATTATAAAAAAGTCTAAGTTAGTATGTATAAAAGACTCTGAGTTGTTAGATTGGATAAAGAAGTACCAAAGAAGAGTTTTGAAGTACAATGCTATAAATGAGTATGTCAATTCTAAGTTTAAAGACCCAAATGAGGAAATGCAGAGAATATTAGAGAAGAAACACTTCAGAAACAAACAGAAAGAGATAGAATACGTTTCGAAGAAATTGCAATCTTACGATTGGAAGACTTACCCTCACAGATGTCTTCTTATCTTAGATGACTTTGCTTCTCATCCTTTGTTAAAGAATAGAGAACAAGACATGTGTCGAATTCTTAAGAAGTTCAGACACTTTAACATCTCTGTTGTCATTTGTGTACAGACAGCCAAGAGTTTAAGTAAGGATGTAAAGAGAATACTTACTGATATTATACTTTTCCCCGGATTGTCCGAAGACGATTTCATGGAACTTATGAAAGAGTCCATGGCAGGTAAGTTTGACAGACATGAACTATGGGAGAAGTACAAAGTCATACAAGACCCTCATACTTCTTTCAGAATTCATATCTACGCGAACAAAGTTCAAATTGTAAAAAGTCAAGCTTGAAAAATGTAAGTGTTGAGTCTTAGTCTGTTGTGGTGCTGGGGCTTTCGGTTCTTCTGGCTTGGGAATGGACTCGGTTGGTGGTACGTCGGACATTCGTTTGTGTCCTGTCGGAAGGAAGAGTTCTTCCTGTTGGAAGGAAAATTTTTTCCTGTCGGAAGGAAGAGTTCTTCCAGTTGGAAGGAAAATTTTTTCCTGTCGGAAGGAAGAGTTCTTCCTGTTGGAAGGAAAATTTTTTCCTGTCGGAAGGAAAATTTTTTCCTGTCGGAAGGAAAAATTTTTCCTGAAGGTCGGCCAAAAAGTTCTCAATTTTCGAAAATTTGAATGGTTTACGGACGGACAACTGGAAAAATTTTTCCTGTTGGAAGGAAAATTTTTTCCTGTTGGAAGGAAAATTTTTTCCTGTCGGAAGGAAGAGTTTTTCCTGTTGGAAGGAAAATTTTTTCCTGTCGGAAGGAAGAGTTTTTCCTGTCGGAAGGAAGAACTTGGAATGCCAGAAGGAAAATTTTTTCCTGTCGGAAGGAAGAACTTGGAATGCCAGAAGGAAATTTTTTTCCTATCGGAAGGAAGGACTCGGAATGCCAGAAGGATTTGACAAGGCAATTTACCTTATAGAGCTACCTGAGCCATCTGAAGTCAAGACCAAAAATAAACGCTTTACATGTATTTTTCAGCAACTTCGTCAAATAATTTTATAGCTTTATCTATCTCATCTACTTCAAACGTTTCTTTACCTTTCGTGGGAGCACCATACATTTTCTCAAACTTTTCAAGTAGTTCTGTTTCTGCAGCTCTCATATCATTAACGAACACAACCTTGACTCTATTGACTGTACTGTCATATCTTTGAGTTATATTATATGTTCTTCCTATCTTATATCTCTTTGTATTGAAGTCCTTCGGTTTCTGAACGATGTAAAGTAAGCCTTCACTGCAACGTTCCGTATCGAATGAACCATATGTTATGAAATTATATCCAACAACTGGGTCAATCCATAACAAAACTATCGGTATAAGACTTTTGTCAATGAGATATGCTGTAGTTCCATAGAATCTTACCGATATCATAAGCTCAGGATTTCTTGTCAAAATTTTCTGACTAGAAGCATTTCTAACCCAGTCGTGGGATGTTTTCTTTTCAGATAGTGTTAGAATGTCTGACAAAGAATATTTGTTGTATTTCTTTGAGTATCTTACGTTTAAATCACCTATTCTAACCACTTTGGTCTCATTGTCTATCTTTTTAACTGTTTCAAACTCAATGTTTGTCATTTCCTGTTCTTACATACAAAATAAAAAAAATATTTTAAAAAAACTAGCGTTATTTTTTTATTTTTTCTATCTTGTATAAAAGATATGATTTCATAGAGTTTTTTTACGATTTTCATAGAGTTTTGGCGACCAGGGTTTTTCACCTACTCGCAATTTTTCACGATTTTCATGAGTTTTATGCAAGACCGAAAAAAGTCGGGGTAGCAATTTTTTACGATTTTCATAAGCGTTTTACATGGTAAACGCTATTTTTTTGACGAAGTGTTAAAGTTCACTTCGTAAAAATTTCACGATTTTCATAAGCGTTTTACATGGTAAACGCTATTTTTTTGACGAAGTGTTAAAGTTCACTTCGTAAAAATTTCACGATTTTCATAAGCGTTTTACGTGGTAAACGCTATTTTTTTGACGAAGTGTTAAAGTTCTCTTCGTAAAAAAAATACAGTTATATCATGAAATTTGGTCATTTTTTCAGCAAAAATATATTTTAGGTGTGCCCATGTGCCTATGTGCCTCGGTCAAATGAACTTCTCTTAAAATTACTGACAACAAGACATTTTGACAACAACACAGGAAATAGATTTCATCGTAAATGTTTTGTTGAGACTTCATCGTCAATGAGCGTAAATCAGACAAAAATATATTTCTACCATAACTATTTACAAGCGTTTTACATGGTATATGTTGTGATGGTTCATGACTTTAAACAGTTTTGTAGCTTCTATTTCTTCACGAAGGATATCAAAAGTTTTAACAATGCCGAAGGTTTCTTTATATTTCTTCTTGACATCTGAAAGAAGGAAATCGTCAGCTGTTGGATAGTTTTTGTTCAGAAATGTCAACATGTCCATTTTATCTTCTGCTGGTTTCTCTGCTTCTTTCTTTAAGTCAGCATAGTCGTTTCGCATACGTTCTATCTCTTTGACGGAGTAGTTATATTTCCTCATTGCTGCTTTACATTTTGAACATTGTGGGTTCATTTTTGCGTTATATTCTGAAACCTTACCTGCAAGTATGACTAAGGCGTCAATGGTTTTCTTTAACTCAAACATAGCGGGTTTTATTTGTCCGTTCCATACTTTACCTCTTCTATCCTCACCTCTTATCTGCCATACACATTCAGCAACTAACGAAACAAAGTTGTCGTAGGTCTTAAATTCTTCAGATTTATATATGTCAATGAAATATACCATATCGCAGTCTTTGTGGTTGCAATGAAATCCAAGAAACTCATAGTTTACATTACGTATGAACTTCTTAATTTCAACTGAGTCAGTTGCTTTGACTTCTATTTCATCGAATTCAGGAATAGTGAGCTTTTGTTGTTGGATTTCAGGAAGTTTAGGTAAATGGTCGATGAGGTCCTGCATTTCATAAAGATATTGTTCATTTGTTTCATCTTTCGCACTACAGTCTAAATCTCCTTGGAGAAGTTCTTGCTTTATCTTCTGGATTGTTGTTTCGAAAGTATATGAAGAAGGAATGAAGCTTTTCATCTCTATTAACATTGAAGTTGGGTTCATGACTAAAGAGTTTGGTGCTGTTGTTGCTAACATGTTCTTACAATAAAAATAAAAAAATATTTTTTTTAAAAAACTAACTTTTTTTTATTTCGGGAAAATTCATGAGTTTTGTGTGTTTTTCTACGGTGGAGCCACTTTTGGCTCGACCTCAAAACAAGCATTTTGTGAAGAATATACCAACCGGAAGAAAACAGCGGGTTGCTTTTTTATACAAAATTCATGAGTTTTGTGTGTTTTCTACGATGTTGTCAAAATGTCGTGTTGTCAGTAATTTTAAGAGAAGTTCATTTGACCGAGGCACATAGGCACATAGGCACACCTAAAAAAACATCTACCCTAAAATATATTTTTCAATACTTTTTCAGCACTTTTCCGTAGTTGTATATGAAAGACAATTCGAGATAAAAGTCATAGTACAATGGAATAATATGCTGCACACCGTTTGTTGTGAACCAAACTTGAAAGTCAGAGAAACTGTTACTAGGTGGTTCGTAGAATTTAGAAGCAAAGTCATAAAAGTCCTTACCAATACAAAGAAAACTGTTGTTGCTTGAACTGAAACTTGCATGACACATGACATTTTGAGGGTCAAACACGTTTCTATAAACTGTCAAATCTGCTGGTGGAAGTATAAATTTAAATGGACCATCTGGTGGTAATGGTTCGTTCTGGTTTAGTAACCGAAGAAATTGTGCCCAAGAACGTTTGTCTACTCCCCAATATAAAAACTCTGTATCTCTTGGAGGGTTAATTTCAATCTTTTGAAATGAAACTGTGGAGTTCATCTTGTTATATTCTAGTTTCAGATAGTATGTTCCATTTAGTAAAGAGTGGTATTTTTCTTGAAATTCCCAGTAGTATTTGTTTATTTGAGTTTGGAAGTCATTTAGAGTTTTCTCAAGACTTTCGTCTGAACGAATTGTAAAGATTTTCATTTCATCAAATTTTTCTATTAGACCATCAGAGCCTTTATATTGACCATGAAAATATACTGCGAACATAAACGCGTTCGTTCTATTTGAAAACAAAACTCTTCTAAATCCTATTGCCTTTGCATCTGAAGGACTTTGAAGCCAACGAATTGGATAGTCAAACCTGTAAGCCCCGGATGAAATTTCTTCATCTGATATAGTCCTACCGGCATTTGTGAAGATATAGTCTAACGGTTTTGTATCTGCTACTTTTGTTCTTTGTTTTTCAACCTGAAGCATTTCATATATGTAAAAATATATGGTTTTAAAATGGTATGCCATATAGCTTCTTGAATTTGTTAAGAAGTATTTGAACGCGTTTTCCATCTGTATCTCTAGTGTTTACATAAGCATAGCCTGCCTTAGTAAAATATACTTGTAATTTCCTATAGTTTACGCCGGTATAAAAGTAGAAAGAGTCTTGTTCTTCGCTATAGTAGTAAAACTCAAACGTATGCTTACCATAGTCTGTAATTTCAATTGTTTCATCTTCTAGTTCGTCGACAAATTCGAATACAATATCTCCAAATTTGCCTTTGTTCTTATTGTTTTCAGAACAAGTGACCCAACGTAAGTTTTCAAGTCTATTGTCGTCTCTTTGATGGTTTATATGGTCCACACACGGTAAATTGTTAGGGTTCGGTATAAAATGAGTTGCAATGACGACATGTTTTTGGTACTTTTTGAGGTTTAATGTTACACAAATATAACCTGTTCCTCTGTTATATTCATGTATAATTCTCTTGGTTTCTTTCTTCCTTATTTCAAAAGGCTCAGAACAGTGAATTTCATACTCTTCATCTAACAAACAAGTTTCCCAACGGTCTTCTCCAACAAACTCAGCGTACATTTCAAATAAAATAAAAAAATGTTTTTTTTAAAAAATGTTTTTATTTCATGCAATTTTTTACTTCATGCAATGTTTTATTTCATGCAATGTTTTATTTCTGTGCCGTCTTCAAGTATACCCCAGTACTTACGTTTGGAGAGTACATGAACTTCGGAAAATACCTTGTCTAGCTTAAAAAGGCCCATCTTTTCACCGACCATTCCCATTTCAATGAGTTTGTTATATCCTTCTTCGTTCGTCATGAGCGCGTCGATGTTCTCGTAGTAAACCTTCACTTTGGATTTGACCTCTGAGAAGAATTTGTTGTAGTTGTCAAGGACTGCTTTTGCGAACTGAGGGTATGACCAATGTTCGACAATAGGTTTTAATGTGGTTACTAAGCCACTTTGACCTTCGGTGAACTCGTACTTCAAAACAAAAGGAGAAAACCTTTCAACAAAGTTGTCGACCTTCTCATAGTGTTTACTCTTCATCTTTTGAGGTTTTTTAATGGAATATCCCCATGTCGAATTCATAAGCAATTTGAGTGTCATTGCAAGCTTGGGGTTTGAAGCTTTCCTAATATCATACATTTGTTGTATGACCTTTCCAACTGTATAGTTCCTTCCCGGGAACTCACCGTCTTCGTTTGGAATTCCAGTTGGAATATATTGGACAAACCTCATGTACGCAGCGTTAAGGTCGACATAGTATATCTTTTCGTTTGAGTCGAACTTGTCGCATCCAATCGGCCCAGTTTTTGGAAATTCAAGCGAGTCTCTTATCTTCTGAGAAACTTCTCCTGTTATCTCATAAACATCGTCAAAGCAACCTGTTTCATATAAAACCTTCTGACCCAACTCAGAAGCTCTCCAATACAATTTGACGTCGATTGGATGCCTCAATGGAAGTTTGTTTATAGCATCTTGAAGTTCTTGCAACCTCATTGGAAGTTCTTCTGGTTCAGGTTGGTATCCGAACAATCCAACTCCTTTTGGAATTGTGTACTTCTTTTGTGCTAGAACTTTGTCTGGAACAACTTTTGGTCTTACCAACAATGAAAAGTTTGTTTCGTCTTTTGGTACAAAAGTTTCTGTCAGCTTGTCATCTGGAATTGGTTCCAACAAACCTTTCTCGAAAAGAATGTTAACAGCTCTGACAATGTTGCACTTGCCTCTTCCGAACAATGGGTTTGTAAGACTTTCGTTCAACATGAAGTGGTTATGGACAATTGCAATCTTCAACCATGGTAAGTCTTTGTCAACAACATAGTCGTCATGTGAAAAACCTTTCTCAGTCGGAATGTTGACTCGGATATTCACATTTGCCAACGGTGCAACTTTTGTCAATTGACTTCTGAGCATGTACCTTGTCTTCACACATGACTCAAGATACTTCATCTTCTCATCTGTAACAAGACCGGAGTTCCTGAGACATGTAAGAATGCAAGGTTCATTGACAATTCCTTCAAGTGAATTGTAAATTCCATACCTTGTTAAGTCAATGTCAGACTTATTTCTGAACGGGAAGTATCCAGCATGTTGTCTGACTGCTTGAGGGTTAGGTTGGTACCATTCAAACTTCACGCTTGCAATTCCTTCAATTGCATTCAAAATATCTGAGTCGGAGTCAAACATTTGTTCTCTCTTTGTAGTCTTGAAAGCGTCAAGAAGTTGTGCGGCTGTTGTGACATTGCCATGTGCATAGTAAATATGGCCATCCAAATCTGTTACGGTTAGTCTGAGATTGTGTCCTTTCTTATTTCCGTCTTGTATGGCAGCAAGTACACCCATGAAGCCTTCTTTGTTCTTTCCTTCGTCAAAGTTTACTGTAAAGGTTCGACCAGATGCAATTTTACTTCTAACTTCACGATACTTTTCATATGCATATCTTGTTCTTTCCATGGGAGCATGTGTGTCTTCACCTTTTCCTTTTTTCCTTCTCAAAGGATGCAATTGTTCGTCATGTTTCCAGTAGAATCTGGCAAAGCCGTCGTGTCCTTCAACTTGAGGCTCAGTAACATCGAAAGGTATGTCCATAAGACGCTCTTCTTCTAACCTCTCTAGTCTGTTTGGATAATTTGCGCGTGCTGTTTCTAAGTCCATTTCGTAGCGAAGACCAGACAATTTGTCATAGACTTTTATGGGTCTTCCCTTCCTATATTTAAACTTCTTCGAAACTCTCCAACCATATCTTTGTAACTCTGCTTTTATTCTAGCAGACCTTCTGTCCATTCTATATGGGGGCATTTTTATAAAAATAAAAAATATATTTTTTCTCTTTACTTAACATAACCACCTGCTGCCATAAGTCTTTGACGCCAACCCATACCAGCTAATGAAGGTTGACTTGGTTTAGTTTCCAAACTAAACTTTGGTTTTGGTTTATCTTCAGTTTTTGGTTTTTCTTCTTCTATCGGTTTTTCGTCACTTTTCGGTTCTGCTGACTTTACCTCACTTGCTGGAACAGTTGTGTCGTTAACATCTTCATAAATATCATATGCCATTTGTGCTTGTTTTCCTTTCAACTTTTTGTGTTTGTTGTAAGGTTTAGAATATTTCGACTCTAAGTCAATGAGATGTTCTATAATGAACTGTTGGTCAGTGAAGTAAACTTTTCCATCTGTTGTCTCGAAAGCTCCTTCAGACTTCAATATTTTATTTGTGAGAGTCTGTTTCTTTTTTGAGATACTAGCCGTTCCATTTCTATGAAAAGTGACTTTGTAGTTGGGGGTTGTATTTCCAGACCTGGCACTTTCTATTATTGAATTTTTCTCTTCATCTGTAAGTTCTTTGACAGATTTTGACAATGGTTCTGAACTTTTTGTTTGTGGTGTCAAATCTACCGTTTCAACTTCTTCGGTCATTTCATCTCAGTAAAAAATTTTAGTTTGGTTTGTTTTCAACTGGTTGTTGAGGTTTTTTAAGTCGGTCTAAAACTTCCTGAGGTATAGGAAGAACTTGACAAACACGTTGTGTAACTGCTGGAAGCGACAAAGCCATCTTGAACCCATTTGTCTCAATGCTGTATTGTTCATTTCATCTCAGTAAAAAACTTTACATTCCCCACGTTTGAGGCGGTTGAGGTTGGTTTTGTTTACCCACTGTTGTGCATGGTTATATCCTCTGTTAAAGAATCTTTCACCTTGGTCCATATAGTGTCCTGCTTGGTTATAGTAGTCATTTGCTTTGTTATAGTAGTTTCCTGCTTGTCTTCCTACATTGTCCATCCAT